CTGCACGCCGCCACGCTCCCCCGCCTCTGCTGTGTGGCCACGGCCATGGGCCGCTGGTCTGGAGGTAGCAGCGGGTCACTGTTTCCCAGGATGCCTTCTGAAGGCACTTTGCGTCTTGAGGGCTGGGCTGGCACTGACAGCCCTTGTGCCTTTCCTGCAGGGGGCTCAGCCTCCCAGTGTCCCCCTCTGCTTGCCCCTGCCCAGGACCCAGACATGCCCCCTCTCTGCCTCGCACAGCAGCAAGTCTGCCCTGGTCCTGGGCCACCTCCAAGGGTGTGTGGCGGCTCTGTCGCCAGGGTCCCGGCCTGCACCTGCCCTGCCTCCTGGCCAGCCCAGCCCAGCGGCTCTGCCCTAGAGAGTGAGGACCCAAAGGCCATGCAAGCTGCTGCGGCAACAGGTACCTGAGTGTGTCAGCAGCCTGATCCGCGGGGCGCAGGAGCGTGTGGGAGGCCCGGCAGAGGGCGGGGTGAGCACCCACAAGTCTGTGTCGATGCTAATCAGTAAGTTGAGGATAAGGTCAGCGTGGCCTCGTAGCAGAGTCCAGAGACGGACAGGATGCCAGCATTTGATGCTGCATGGCCTTCGCGGCCGGCCCCGGGGGCGAGGAGAGTCGGCCATGTTCCCATTGGCCAAATGAGGGGCGCGGCCTCCCCAGAGGGGTGCCAGCAGGCCGAGTCTGCCCACGACCAGGCAGTCCCAAGTGAGTCCTTGGTGTGAGGCGCCAAGACAGCAGTCTGAGCTGGCCGCAGGGCAGGAAGGGCTGGGGGTGAGTGTGTAGGACACCCCACTTCTGCAAAGGTCTCTGCCATGCAAACACTCACCAGGACGCATCAAACGGTAGCCCTAAGATGTCCACAACTACCTTGAAAAGAAAAGGATGCTGGGCCTCCTTGGCGGGCAGGGGTCAGCCTCAGAGCTATGAAGCTACCGCAGCCACTGCAGCCTGAGTGCGACCCCCAGCCAGGGAGTGACCCACATGGCCAGCAGACCTCTCCTGTCTCCCCTCAGCAGTGGATTTCAGTGGATCTGTCTAGTGAATCCTCTCACGCTGCACCCCAGCTCTGTATGCATAAAATAAATCTTTAAGAAAAAGAAAGAAAAAGATGGCTTGATGGGTAGAGGGACGGGGAGACGGTCAGGCAGGCCACCGAGGAAGCTGGGGCGACGTGCTCATTGTGGACTCTCGGCCATGGGACGTGGGGTTTGCTGTACAGGTTTTGGGGAAAATTTGAATATTTCCATAATAAAATGCTAGGATGGGCCAGCACCCAGGGCAGAGCATCAGTCTCCAGGACATCGCCCCGCTTGTGTGCTATACAGAAGTGTCTCTGCAACGCAGACCTCCCGTTCTGGCTCCCGCTCTTTGGATAACCCCAGAACCACGCCGAGGCGCCGTGCTCATGTGGGAAGGCCCTGGCTCCTCTGCCAAGTGGAGCAGCACAGAGCTGGTCCTGGTCACGGGCCTGGAGCCCCCAGCTCTGGTCCAGAGATGCTGCGGGGCCCGCAGAGACACCAGCCAGACGCACCTGTCCCTGGAGACCCAGCTGTCCCGCCTGCACCTGCGCTGGGCCCTCACCTCGGTGCTGGGCCCTCACCTGGGCGCTGGGTGAGGCTGCTGAGCCTAGCCAGGCTGGATGCCCCGGCTGTCTTGCATCAGGCAGCGGTGCTCTGGGGACAGCTGGGGAAAGCTGGGGACAGTGGGAAGGCGGGGCTCAGGGAACCTTCGAAGGGCAGCTCAGGGATCCCGAACACAAAGGGAAGGCTTGGCCCTCCCGCAGGGCAGGGCAGCTGATGGGGCATGTGCAGGACCCAGGCCAGCTGGGCTGGCCGGGGCATGGGGGAGGGCCTGCCTGGGATGCAGGGGGCGCTGCCTGGGATGTGGCGGGGGGGGGGGGGGGGTAGCTGCGTTCTCTGGGCCCTGGGCTCACCTGCGGGTCAGATCATGGAGCAGGCCCCAGACTCTACTCCTAGGTGGGGCAGCGGGAGAGTGAGGGGGCTGCCCCTGGCGCCCCCCCCCCCCATCCAGAGGGCTGGCTGTAAGGGCATTCCCGGGAGGGCACGCCCCGCCCCAGCTCTTTAAAGGAAAACACGCTGGAAATCCGATAAATGCCGCCTTCAGAACTGAGGCCGGGACAGAGGGGCATGAGCTGCGGTGGAGAGCCAGGCAGGTGGGGCCCGGTCAGCTCGCCTGCGGGGGCCAGGCCACCCCTCCAAGGGCAGGCTCAGCAAGGGGGGCGCCGGTGCTCAGGCTGTGGGGGGCTTGGGGGTGCCCAGGCTGGAGGGAGAGGGGGTTGGGGGGTGGTGCCCAGGCTGGGGGACAAGAGGGTACTCAGGTAGAGGGACAGGGGATGCCAGAGCTGGGGCCGGGCAGGGGAAGGTAAGCAGGCTGCAGGGTGGGGTGGGGTGGGGTGGGGGTGCGCAGCTTGGTGGGGGATGAACACCCAGTCTGTGATTCCCCTCCCACCCCCGTCCCTCCAAGGGAGCTCAGGCCTCTGCGGGGTGGATGACCTGCACCCACATACAGCTGCCTAGGCAGCAGCGCACCCCTCCCTTGCTGCTTCCCTCCTGCCTCCCCACACCACCTCTTACCCATCACACCCGCCCGTGCTCCCCCTGTCCTTCCTCTTCTCTCTCCTCCCCCTTTGCCCTGCCTCCCCCCTTTTCCCCTCCCCTCACCCAGGCACTTTGGGCTGCCACTGCCCACTGCACTGCGCCCTTACATCCTTGTCCCCCAAAGGGCCGCCCTGGACACAGACATCCCCAGTCTACCCAGGCCTGTGACCGTCCTTCTCCCAAAGCGCCTCCTGGTCCTTCCTACCTGCCTAGGGCTGTGCTTCTTCCACTGAGCCCCCAGACCCTAGGGGGCCTCCTGCCCCTGCTCCCCCTGGCCTCCCCTGGCCCACCCGGGTCGGCCAACACAGGCAGTGGGTGGACAGGAGGGCACCTCTTCCTGCACCTGCGGCCTGCTCGCCGCGGGGCCCTCCCTGTGTTGATGTGTGCGGAGGGTCCGTCTCTGCCCGGGACCTCGACTAGGGCTTCATCCAGGCCCTGTGGGCTGTCTCCAAAGCTGGCCTCCAGTGCTGGCCTCCGTGGAGACTCCTGGCTGCCTGGGAGGGAAAGGGTGTGCAAGGGAGGAGCAAGACAGGGCAGAGGGGCAAGGAGGTGGAGAGCACCAGCCAGGTGAGGGGGGGAGTGGGGGGGGTGGCGGGAAGAGGAGGCCAGGGCAGGAGGCTGCCCCAGAGTGGTCCAGCACTTACAAGGCAGCCGCTCCCTGTTCTCCTGTCTGCTGGAAGAGCCCGTAGTCATGGGTGGAAGATCCCCAGCACCCCCTCTCCCCGGGGCACAGTGCGCCCCGTAGGACCCCGGCTCGCCCGCAGGCTGTCTCACGGGGACCCTGGAGGCCACCAGGACTTATGTAGACAGTGGATGCTTCCCGGCCTGGTCCTCTGAGGGGCCCTGCTGAGGCCTCCTGCCACAGAGGCTCTAGCCCCTGGGTCCTGGGGAGCCTGCTCCCCTGGGGAGCCCCAATTCTGGTTTGTTCCCTCTGCAAAGCAGCCTGCAAAGCCCCGATCTGTGACCTCTGTAAAATGGCTCGCAGAGCTGCCGTGTGGCCACAGTACTGGAAGGGACTGAGGGTGATCAGGGTGGCTCAGCGTGGGCAGGCGCTCCTGGTCTCCGCGGGAGACCCTGGTGGCGGTCACCCCTGCTACCCTGAGCTGGGTGGGCAGGCAGCGTTTCCAGAAGGGAAGTGGCAGGAACAGATTCAGGGGGGTCTGTGGATCTGGGGTGGATGAGTCTGTCTTTCCTCTCCTTTCCCAGCCCTGCTGCCTGAGGACTTCTGCTGGGGTGCCCCCGCCCTTGGCAAGGCTGGCTCGGCCGCGGGCTCAGCTCCGTGAGCCTGAGTCCGGGCGCCGCCTGCTCTGCCTGCAGCAGCATCCTTCCTATCGCTGCCGCCCGGGCCCGCAGGGCAGCGGCTCCTGTATGCCGAGGTGTCTTGGCTCTTATCACGGGTGCCACGGTGGCTCGACAAATATTTGTGGAGAGAATAAAAATAGATAACAAAGCCCGAATTCTACCGTGAGGGCGGTGGGGAAGGAGGGAGAGTTAAGGCAACCCGGCCCCTGGGGGGCAGAGGCGAGCGCGGGGCGCCGCCCTCTGCAGGGCTCGGTGGCTGCGGCGCCCCCCGTGGCTAAGGCGGGTGGAGGGCTCGGCCCGGGGTCACTGACCCCCTGCCCGTGGCCGGTGTCCCTGCGCCCCTCCCAAGCCCCCTCCGCGCTTACACCAGGGCAGAGGAGCCGGGCCCGCCGGTGAGAACCGGGGCCGCACTCCCCGCGCCTGTGCAGCTGCGGGGCAGACTCTGCGGAGGGGCGCGCCGGGGCCCTCGGGGCTCACGGGGCCGGGCCCTGCCCTGGGGCCGCGCGGGGCGGCCAAGGAAAGCGGCGCTTCCCCGGGCCGGGCGGCCCCGCGGCCGGGTGTGCGGGGTGACCGGGTCGGGTCTCCGCCCCGCCCGGCCCGGCCCGGCCCGTGCCCAGAGAGGGGCGCCGGCCCCGGGGGAGGCCTGCGCGGGTGCGGGGCGCCGGGAAGACCCCCGCGCCCCAGAGGGCGGGGCCGGGGCGCGGGCGGGCGAGGCGCGGACGCGCGAGCGGGGGGCGCGCCAGGGGGACCCCCGGCGGCGCGCAGGGGCCCCGGCCCCCCGGCCCCGGCCGCGCGCCCCCGCGCGCCCCCCGCGCGCCCCGGCCCCGCGCCCCCCCGCCCCGGCCCCGCCCGTGACGTCACGCGGCGCGCGGCATTGTGGGGCGGGGCCGGCGGGGAGGGCGCCGCGGCGCCATTTTCGGCGGCGGGCGCGGCGGGGCTGGAGCCGGAGCCGCGGGGCGCGGGGCGGCGGCTGCGAGAGGAGCCGCGGGGACAGCGCGCGGCGGCCGGGGATGCTGCGGGGCGGCCCTCGCCTGTGACGCGGCGCCGCGCCTGAGGCGGCCGGGGCGGCGGGTCCCGCGCACGGCCCGCTCCGCGCACGCGCCCGCCTCGCCGCTGACAGCTGAGCGCGCGGCCGGAGCAGCTCGGTGAGTGGCCGCCGCGCCTCGGGCCCGGCCTGCGCGGCCCCCGCCCGGCCCTCCCGGGGCAGCGGCGTCTCCCGGCCCGGCCCTCCCGGGGCAGCGGCGACCCCGGCCCGGCCCTCCCGGGGCAGCGGCGACCCCGGCCCGGCCCTCCCGGGGCAGCGGCGACCCCGGCCCGGCCCTCCCGGGGCAGCGGCGCCCCTCCCGCCCCCCCTCAGCAGCCACCTCCCCCCTCCGCACCCCGCCTCGGGGCCTGTCGGGGCCTCGTCCATGTCCACTTCCCAGCGCGGCCCCGCCCGGGCCCCGCGCCTCAGCCCGGCGCGTCTCCCACCCCCGCGTCCCCGCCCGGCCCCGGCCCTCGGCCCGGTCCACTTTCCGCCCTCGGCCGCCGCCCCGGTCCGCGGGCCGCCCCCCCCCGCCCCCGGCGCGGCCCTGCTGGGGCGGGGGCGACCGCGGCGGGAACAGCTGGGCCCGGCCTGCGGGGCGGCGGGCGGGCGGGGCGGGGCGAGGGCCCGGCTGGCGGCGACTCGCGGACAAGCTTTGTCCGAGTCCCCCGCGTCCTTCCGCCCCCGCCTCTCCCGCGGCACCGCCCTGGCGCGCGCCTGCCCGGTCGTGCGGGCCGCGGGGCCCTTGGCGAGGCGCCTCCACCCGCCTGCCCGGGTCCGTCTTCTCTGCCCGAACCTCCCATCCCCGGGGCGCCCGGCTGGCCGCGCTCCTGCTGAGCCCGCGCGGCCGGCAGACGTGACGGGGCTGTGGGGTTCGGGCGCCGCTTCCTCCGCAAGCAGAGGCCGCACAGAGCATTAAAGGCTAAACCGGCGCCGGGTGGGTTGGATGGTTTTATCCCGAAGGTCGTTGGCGCAGGCGTTGGGATCGGCGCTGCTCATTGCTGCTTTGTCACTTGAACAGCAGGCGAGATTTCACGTTATGCTTTTGATAAGTATCCTTGCAAAAAAGATGCTTCAAAAAAGTGTGAGAACCCCAGCAAGTGAGATGCACCGGTTCCACGCTGTGTGGATGGCTGCTTGGAATTAGTCAGATTCCAGAGCTGTTTCTGTGCAGCGTGACTGATGGATCGGCGGGCTAGCTCCGAGGACCTTGCACAGTCCAGTGAGAACCCACTAGGAAGCTGCAGCGCCCTCCCCGAGTCTCCATCTTCCTATTTTCTGGGTGTTCCTCGCAGGGACTGGCGACAGGCCTTAGCTGGGTGGGAGATTTGATTGGTTGTTCCCTGTCCTGGGCATCTGGAAGGATCCCGTGATAGTAAATTCGAACAGTCAGCTGTGGGGTTGCCCGTGGGAGGCCGGCATGCTCAGGCCAGTGACTCTGGGTCTTCAGAGAATGCAGCGGGCGTTGCCAGGCTGGGTGCCCCGGGTGGGGGCCTCTGGGCCAGTGACCTCCCTGCGCCCACCTCCTTTACCTTGCTCAGCCGGGGCTTGCAGGGAGAAGCCCTGTGTGAGAATCGGCATCTCCTCTGGAGGGAGGAGGGAGGAGGTACCCAGAGGGGCGTGGTGCACTTTGCGTGTCATCCCATGACTGCACAGCACACGGCCATGGCTCCGCATAGCCTTCCCCGGGCCATTGACCGTCTCCCAGTGCAGTCACGTAAAGAGAGACCTGGAAGGGCCTCACCCAGTGGCGCAGCGATTGAGTACTTGGCTGCGAAGCTGCCCGCAGCCTCTGCAGCGCCGGTTCGATCCCCAGCCGCCGGGCGAGGGTCCCACATGGCGCGCAGACCTCTCCTGCCGCCCGCTGCTCCCCTCAGCAGTGTGCTTCGGTCCTTCTGCCTGCTCTGCTCCCCGCTCTGGCTCTGGTGAATTCTCTCACCCTCCCGGGCTTCTGCGTGTACCCAGTGCTTGTATCAATAAATAAATAAATCTTTAAAAAAGAAAAAAAGAGAGAAACCTGGAAATGGGAAGGCCAGGGCGGCATGGAATGTGGAATTTGTCTAATCCGGAAACAAGCGGGATGCAGAGGGGAAGCGGACACGTCGCCCAGGCAGTGGTCGTGCTACCCCAGAGGGAGTGGGGGGTCCTCACGCGGAGGGAGCGGGCAGGGTGCTGCTGGGCGCCAAGTGCTGTGCTCGGTGTGCTCGGTCGTCGGCAGCTGCGGCTCTGGAGCTGCCGCCCGTCAGGGAGATGGGTGTGCCGGGCACCCCAGGTTGGGTGAAGCTGGGCGCCCAGTGCCCTGAGGAGGTGATTCTGGGTCTGAAACTTGAAGTACTGGCCACGGGGCAGGGGTGTGTGTGGGGGGGTGAGGGCGAGATTCTCGGAGGAGCCCTTGCTGCCGCCCGCGAAGTGGCTCTTCGGGGGTGCTCTGGGCTTCATCCCTGTGTGGAATGTGGTTGTGGGAGCTGTCACTTCCGGTCTGAGGGGGGCCTGCGAGGACTGGCGCGGCTTTGTCCTGTGTGACGCCCACCACCCCTCTCCCTGCTGGCCAAAGGACTTCCTTGGCAGGGCTGGCGACGCCGTCGTCCCTGCCCACTCACGTCTCTCTGTGAGACCTCCCTCAGGGTCACCTCCCTCTTCGGGTGCTTTTGCCAGTGTCCTGCGGCGCCCCGCCCCGTCTCCCTTGTCTTCCTCCTGCCCTGACGTCACCCGGCACGCAGGCGGGAGCCCCTCCTCGCTTCCCGCCTGCTCCCTGGCGCTGGCTACGGTTCCTTATTATTTCACATGATTACTTCCTTAGCTTAGCGCCTGTCCCCCCACCCAACCCTCAGCCTCCCGCCGGCAGGGTTCTGTGTGGCGTGTGCAGCGCCAGTGTTCGGCACGCCATGGGCGTTTAGTGAGTGTTTATTGAGAAGCATCTGGAGCTCCTTCCTTGTTTCTCACGTAGGTGACTCACCTGGCCGGTGACACCCACCGGGGCTGGGAGAGCAGGAGGAGGGGTGGGGAGTGTGGCTCAGGCAGCCAAATCCGAGTGCACCCGGGCACCGAGCGGGAGGTGGCGGCTGGAGCCACGACCGACGGGACTTAGGCAGGAGAGGAGGGTTTGCGAGGCCGTGTCTCAGGCCCAGGAGGTGGTGGTGTCTTAGGGGACCCCCTCCCCGGGGCCTGACAGCTGGGGACTGCGACCGGCCCTCGGGCTGGAGGGCGCGCCTGGAGAAGGGCAGGCCAGCGGGAAGTGGGCAGGAAAGTCGAAGGACATTGGTTTCTAGAAGATGTTATTTTTACCTTTTTAAAATTTTTTTAAAAAATTTTTTGAAAAGATTTATTTATTTATTTATTTATTTATTTATTTATTTATTTATTTATTTATTTATTTATTTATATATACAAGCACTGGGCACAGTCAGAAGCGCGGGAGGGTGAGAGAATTCACCAGAGCCAGAGCGGGGAGCAGAGCAGGCAGAAGGACCGAAGTACACTGCTGAGGGGAGCAGCGGGCGGCAGGAGAGGTCTGCGCGCCATGTGGGACCCTCCTCCGGTGGCCGGGGAGCAGCCGGGGATCGAACCGGTGCCGCAGAGGCTGCGGGCAGCTTCGCAACCCAGCGCTCAACCGCTGCGCCACCGGGGAGGCCCCCTTTTTGAAAATTTTTACATACAAGAACTGGGGTGCAGGCCAGAGGTGAGAGGACTCCCCAGAGATGGAGTGGGGAGCAGAACAGGCGGGTCCACTGAGACCCACTGCCGAGGGGGACAGCGGGGAGATAGGAGAGGGCTACGGCGCCCTGAGGGCAGCTCCCTGGCAGGGGGTGGGGGGTGGCATTCAGGCCTCAGCGGGGACAGCCTGAGACTGACCCTGGGCCGCAGCGGCCGAGGCCCCTGAAGGTGATTAATGAGCCTTGAAGTTGTGGCTGAGACTGCTGCTCCTTCGGCTGCAGGCGCTTCCGCCCCGCATCCTGCCGCTGCCTGGTGAACACCCTGGGTCGGGAGGGCACTGGGGCTGTTGGCTCTCGTCGCTGGAGGCAGAGGGGAACCGTTCTGGGCGCTCAGGACGATGTTCCTGGCGGCTGTACTCACGCGGGAAGCAGGCGAGTGGCGGCCGCTGTCCTTGCGCCGCTGCGCCGAGTCCCTTCAGACTCTGGCTTCCCGCGCTGCGCCTCGCCGCTTCCGGGTAGGGCCTGGGCGCTGGCCGCCGCCGCCCGGGCCGTTCTCCACTCCCGCGGCGCCCGCCTGCCTCGCCGTCGGCCGCCTCCATCTTCGGTGGGGAGCACCTTCCCCGTCCCGAGTTCCGGGCGTCCTGTGCGGCTCTGCTTCCCTCTGGCTCTGACTTTTGGACCCAGATTTAACAGACTGGGGTCAGGCCGGGCCCGGGTCAACGCTCTGCCTTCAGGCCCAGGGGTGGGGACCTGGACCGCCGCTGTGGTGCTCACCAGCAGCACCCCGCGGGGGGCGGCTTGAATGACGGGAGAAGGTGCGTCCCCGCTGGGGCGGGAGGCACCCTCCGGCCCGCTGTCAGTCACCCGAGTCCTCAGCAGACCCGGTCTGGTGTGGCGCCCCTTTCACTCGGCTCCGGGGGCGCGACTGCTGCGCGGGTGCGCTGGTCGGTGTTTGGAGATTCTCTTTTGCTTTGGGAAGCCGAGGGAGTGATTCACGAGCAGAGGCGCCAAGACTGAATGGACTCTTCCTGCCGTTCTGTCGCGTGCGTTCGACACCCACCTCAGGGCGCCCCCGGCCCCTGCCAGCTGTCATTGCACCGCCAGCGAGTGAGGTGGCTTCTACCCCGAGCGTGGCTCTGCCTGCTCTGTGCTGAGCGGAGGTGCCGTCACACCCGTTTGCCCTCTGCGCCCCGCGGGGCAGGGCCGTGCACCTCTCTGTCCGCGTCCTCCGTGCCGCCCCCGCCTGCCGCCCGGACCACTCTCAGGCCGCCGTGGCTGCCAGCGCTTGACCGTGCGGAGACTGACCCCACCGGGGAGGCCCTGTTCCCCTTTCTTCGGGAAGTGTGTTTAGGGGAAGCTTTGCTCAGAGGGTGGATGTGCCGTCGCCTTTCCGAGAAAGCGCCAGCGGCCGTGCTGCTGTGGCCCCCAGACCGGCGGTGAGGGCTGGGGCTCGGCCCCTGGTCACTTT